AAAAAAACATTTCCACATCAAAATAGAATACGCATTAAAACTTGTTCAACTGCCCCGCCCCGCCCCAACCCCAACCCCCACCCCCTTTACATTGTCAACAGCAAAGTTTCCTGCTACATGTTCTTAAGCTTAATAGTGAACATTTGAAAAAATAAAAATAAAAACGCAGCCAGGAAAGTTATTATCCATGATGTCTCACACCAGCGTTGTTAAATTAAAGCTACTTTGTGCAACTTAATACCAATAATAATTATCAGGACCAACAGTACTGTAGTACTGTGCCAGCATGGCAGAAGTAGTTTTCAGAGCTTAAGGACACTTAATAATAATACCACTGGTTAAATCTAGGCCTGGATAACCGAACATCATACTATATATATTAATCTTTTTACCAAAGGCATGGGCTGCTTTCCCAACATAGTTATATGCATTACACTACATATAATTTAGCTTAATTTTTATGTGCAAATAGAGTAAGAGAAATGGCCCATTCATTCAGTTAGTCCATTAAAACTAAGAAAACGCTCGGTAGTGGCACACATGTAAAGCCAAGTCACAAATTTAAGATTATTTCTACACTTTAGGAGATATGCTTTTTTTTATATATACCTAGTTAATCCATAAAACTGATTTTTTTTTTGCTAGCCAGCTGCTGACTGTAGCCTTACGTTTAAGGGACTACCAGGAGAGCGTTATCAACCTTCTCATTTAACAGCTAGAAAGCAAAATGCCAAACTATTGCTTTAAATTTAAGATTGTGTTATTTCCATATTTATAAAAAAAACTAAGTTTCATGTGTTCATTTCAAGTCAGGCTGGGAAGGGGCATCAGCCTAAAATTCAAACATTAAACAATAATTATGATATGAAACTTCCTAAAGTGTGGTTCGATCGTGATAAACACCTGGTCCTCTGCTTTTCATTTGTGTTCAGAAATGTATATGGAGCACCGCAATGCGCCGTGAATCTTTGTGACTGGATATAATGTGCTTTGTACGACGTCCACTGGCCTTACTGCATTGTGCTGAGTGGGTTTAACAGTGTCGTACAGTATTGTGGTGACGTTCAAACCCCTAAAGGGATCGCTAATCATCCCTGTGCGAAACACTGCGTACACAGTTCTGTATTTTAAAATCACCTTAACAGTCCAGCAGTGATTCCAGAAGAGTTTCCACTATCACGACTGCTTCACTAATACGAACTGAGAGATATGGTATGAGAAGAACAATGCTGCAGCTTTAGACTCTTCACAGTCTCGTCACTCCTGCTTCCTTCTACAGCTTCTCTTACTGTGCAAAAAAAAGAAAAAGAAAGGCTCTCCGCAGGCTGTTCAGTAGACAGAGTTTGTTTAGGAGAGTATCCGGCTGGGTTTTTGTCTCTCTTACGATTTATTTCGATTGACTGCGCCATCGGTCGTTACCCTGTGCCCCAATTAAATTTCCGCTACTGTTTAAAACACATGTAGAGGCTCCTACATTCGGTCCAAGTCCCACACAGAGCACTGCAGACCGCGATCGTTTTCCACGCGTGGTCACTCTTGGGCCCCCGGATCAGACGACACGCTCTCACTCTGCGAGAGTCTGTAAATCCTATGAATAATCCACCGTCATTTACACTGATAACACTTGACATCATTGTTCTCGTCATGGCATCGTTTTCCCAAAAATGAAGCCATGATGGTATTCAGGTAATTCCACAGCTGCTCGATCATAAAATGCACTTCACATTATTCACTTAAATTGCTTTTAACACCTTATTTTTCTACATTTGTCTAAATGATGAACTTGACATCGTTCTTGAGGTTGCCGTGGTTGTTGTTGTTGTTGCTGACAACACTGAAGCGGTTGGGGAGGATCCTCATCTTCATGGTTCCGTCGGCGCCACAGGAGAAGATGTGATTGGTCGGTCCGACCTCGATCTGCATGACACCCGTGCCGAGGTTCCTGAACAGCGACTGGCGAGCGTGTTCGTTTGGAAAGGTGTAGAGCGGACACTGTGTGGTCAGGCTCCAAACCTGGGGAGGAAAGAAAGGGACCATTTTTAAACCGAAGAGTCAACAGAGATTCTTTTAAACAGAACAGAGCATTGAAGAATGAGTCTGGTAATATTCTGCATTCTTCTTATTGTCGTTGTCTTATTGTTAACCAACCAGGGTAAATAACTTTACATTTGTGTGAATCTGTATGTTCAACGGTAGGAGGAGGAAAGAGAGGACGTCAGAAATTCCTGTCAGCTGCGGTAAAGTTAGCAGCCCGCGGTGGGTCTGGCGGGGGAAGGAGAGGACCGGAGAGGAAATGTGACCAAAACTGAACAGAAAGTAAAGAGATGAGGTGCAGTCATGGGTAAGAGTGAGAGAGGGAAAGAGAGACATCAATAGAGAGCTATCAGAGGGAGAGGGAGAGAGAGAAAAGATGAAGCACTGTTTCTCTATTCTTGTGAGTTGAGTGTGTTCAAGCAATCAGTAACATTTCTCTTCTACTCTCCAGACTTGTGAACGCTTCCTGTTAAGCTAGATGTTGCCAAGCAACGTAAACAGCAAGAACTCCAGCAACCAGCTATATATCACGATGTTAAAAACAAGTTAATTAACAAGTGATATCTATTTTACTTAACTTACATACAACATTTTGTTGGCAAGTGGCCATTATATAATCGGGACTTTTTTTATGTTCCAGCACTGTGTAGCGGTATCACAACCTGTGATGAGCAACTGGTTGATACACACACACACACACAACATTTAAATACTTGCTGGTGCACATCCACAGATAAAAATATTCTCCAACAAATACATAATTTACTCTGGTTTAGCATTTTTTTTTAAAATGTTTTTTTCAAAGATTTACATCTTCAGTCTGAACCAATGAGGGTCCACCGAGATACACGCTGCTTACGTCATTGGATTGGTATTCCCAGCCTGGGATCTTTATTATTTCATAAGGTATTTCATACACTGAAGTCTGTACATATTAGTTAATCTTCCTGTTCCATTAACTCACATCAAACACTTATATATAAGCTTATATATTTGCAGCACCCATGTTACATTTTCAATCAGCCAATATACGATTAATGACTTTAGATGAGTAACATCACACACAGCTTTGAAGGTTTTTGTGAGAAATCATCCAGAATGAAAGTCATTTGAATTTCAAGCAGATGTGCACTGCACCATTTCCCGTACGTCTGTGTGACACAGCGGCTTCATCCTCGGAGTGACAGCTGTGTGATCTATGCCAACATATTCAAGTCAAAAAGATGAAAGACCTGCTGTCTCTGGAAATATATTAGCTGAATACGGTCACATCTCCTGCCTGTTCAGTCAGAACACCTTCCTTTGCCCTCTCATGTGTCACTTTAGGATAAATGCAACAGTCATCCGATTGTTGATGTGGAGGAGAGACATTCACACCTGGGGGCCAAACGCCCTGCAGGACTGTTGTGTCAGCTACAGTTTAACTATGTGCAGAGGAAACAATCAAACTGTTTTCATAATCCAAGTTTTTTAGAATTACTGCTCCCAGTGAAGCTCTCATATAAAATTAATGACTCTCAAAAAAAAAAAAAAGAAGAAAAGTCACAAAAGCTCTATGAATTTTTATCCTTTTTGGGAGATTCTCTAACAGTGCAAACTGACCTTGAAGGCCGTCAACAAATGCTAATATTTATATATTCCCCTGTCTGTAATATACCTCTCAACATTTCATATGTATTCAACAGACATTTATTTAAATCGCATTAATAACTTTGAGATACTAAATTATGAAAGTTAAGAATACCTTGATGTTGCCCTCAGATGATCCACTGATAAAGCAGTCCTCAGTCGGATCAACAGCCAGTGCTTTGACCGGCGAGTCGTGGGCCTGGAAGCTCTGGCGTTGGTGCTTGTGGGAAAGCTCCAGGACGCTGATCCAGCCCTTCCTCCCGCCTGTGATAAGCAGCTGCTGCCTGGGGGCCATCGCGAGCACGGTAGCACCGGACTCATGGCAGCAAAAAGCTGAGAAGAGAGACAAAGCAGAAAGATGGGATATCAGGGAGAATGAGAAGGAACTGAGAGAAGCATTCAGAACAGAAATAAAACAGGTGGAGATATTGTGGAAAAAATATATAATATTGAGGGCAGGAGTCAGCAACCTTTATGATAAAAATAACAAAAAAAACTGTCTGGAGCCGCAAATATACAGTGCTAATTTCTCACTGCAGATCAAGCAAACAAATCCGTCCACACATTATTAAATTCTACATTTTCCTCTGAGACTTGTCTTTAACCATAGCTAGTCTAGCTAGGGAAACTCAAGACTACTAGCTACCGCTAATGAGGTCAGGATGTAATGCAAAATTTGATTTGGTATGTAATGGCTAAAGATTAACTGCAGAATGTAAGAATCACTTTAGACTTTACGCCTACAAAAAATGACAAATTAAAATGTCAAAAAAGAACCATTATTGATTTCCATAATTTTTTTTGCAAAGCCACAAGGAGCTACTGGAAAAGAGCCACATGAGGCTCCAGAGCTGCAGGTTGCCTACCTCTGAGGGCCTAAATCTACAATTATTAATTAATTAATTTTCTCAAATCATCAGAGGCTGGAAGCCAAGCTCTTTGCTTTAAAAATAAACAATTATGAAAATTGTTTCTGATTGCTCAGCTGATTTCTCAAAGAGGCTGTTACAAAATAAAAAACGATGCTTTTCCTTGCTGCATCTTACCATGAACAAGACTGTTCGCAGGAGTCACCAAAGTGTCCCACAGACACACGTTCCTGTGGAGTCAAAAATGATCAAATTACTATCCATTCAAACATTTTAATCAAAGGACATGTCATTATCCCTGCTGGCCACAGTACAGTGGCTTTTAATTAGAAGTCCATGGAACAATTCATTAAATTCTCCTTCCAAGTCTCTCATACCGGTTATCTGTTGAAAGACCTGCAGTGGCAATGAGGGAGGAGGAACCCACAAAAACAAAGTCGTGAGCTGTCTTGTTGTGGCAGTGCAAAGTCTGCCAGAGAGAAACAAAGGAGACGTTTATTAATAGTGACAGTAATAGAGAAGCAGGAGAAGAGTAAACAGATATGAGAATGACAGGAAGAAAGCAGGAGGACACAAAACTAAAAACAAACATGTTGGGGAGGGGGAAGGTAGCTCTGTGAGTTTCTTACCAGGTATGGTTTGGGTGCATTCCCGCTTGTGTTGGTCTGCCAGAGACTCAAACCTCCATCAGCGTCTACAATACCGAACTACACAAAACATTCAGAGAGCAGATATCAGAAATTCATTTAGAGTTATCTTTTATTTTACATCAGACAGACAAAAATATACTGTCAGGTGCCCTTCCTGTGTTTGCAGCCCCATTGGGAACCTACTTCCATCAGGTGATTTGGACTGCACTCAAATGATCTTCCAAAACACATCAACAGCCTCATAAGTCCAAGCACCACTTACATAACTAAAATCAAGTGCCCTGCATGTCCTCCCGTTCCCATTTTTTAAAGCATATTTCACTCTTTTGGTCAGTACTGGCAGATAAGATAGCACTGGCACAGGAGAGACACCATCTGAGAAAATGATTAGCTTGAGGCGAGTGCCTGAGTTCAGAACGGTTGAATCACTCCGCTGAAGAACAATGTGTGCTGAAGCCAAACTCCCCACTGTGGTTCGTGCCTGAACGGCAAAGTTGTTAGAGGAAGTGTGAAAATGTGGCTGAATCTGACAGGCTCACATCGAAATGCAACCATGCTGCAAAGCTAAGAAAGGTCTGGCATCTGTATGGTGGTAGTTAACTGTCCAACGTGTTCTGCCCATACAGTACGAGTGAGGCTTTGTTACCTTGTTTCCCTGGTGGTTGAACCGTATCCTGGTTACTCTGGAGTTGCCTGGACTTCTGAAGCAGATGATCTGCTGGGAGTGACCCCATTCGAACATCCTCACGCTACCGTCCTGAGCTCCTGTCAGGTCTGAAAAACAGAAATAAACAAAATATGACATTAGTTCAGCTTATTCTCCAGTGCATTCTGGTCCCAACAAAAGGTTTTGGCATTTTTTTGTTCCCAAAATTATCTGTTATAATTGATGAAGGAACACACACACGCACACGCACAC